CAACAAAAAAAAAAACAATCCATGCCCCCCCCCCCTCAGCGGGCCGCGCTAAAATGATCAAACGTTGACCGGTCCGCGGCGATAAAAAGGTTGGGGAGCACTGCTGTATAGTGCAGCACAATGTGTTGGGTTGAAGAAAGACACAAGCCCATCGAGTTCTCCAGGTTGGCTCTATATACAGTAAATCCTGAATAATGACAATGTGTCTCGCCCTCCCCCGCCATCAACGTGACGCACAGCCGAGCCCGGCATCCATGTTTATTCCGGCATTTGACCAGCAAGTTGGATCCTGGTAAGAGTTGTAGTGTGAAGGAGCCCCTGGTGGGACATGGGAGATAAGGCTGTCAGGGCTGATAGGACTTTGGCTGCTTATCTGTGCGCGGCATATGTCCCATCTGTGTGTGGAGGTAGTTACTAAGAGTGTGGAGGATGACACAGCACCAGAGGGAGCAGAGCGAGGATTCAAGCGGAGACCCCTCTACCACCCGGAGCCATGTACTTATTGCTGCTGATCGGCCATATGACCCGTAAGTCTCTTCTCTCCATGCCTCTAATTGTTTTGGGGGTCCCCCTGTGCATAGCCCCCAAATATCTGTCTTCCCCCCCTCCCCCTCTGCGACTGTCCCCTGCTTGTGTCTGAGGACTCTAGACCCCTAATAATCATCACAGCAGCTTTTGTATGGTTTACTTTGTGACACTATTATAAAGGAAAAGTTACAACGTTACTAAAAGCAAACCAAGAAAATGTTCCCTTTGAAGGTCACTGATGATTTAGTTATAGGCGGAGCCTGGGGGGGTTGGGAAAGCACCTGCCCTCTTATGGGCCCATGTACAAAGGTAGTATGTACAGCCTCCCATAGAGGTCAACGGGCACAAGCAGCTGTATGCGGGTGAACGCTGGTACTTATGTACAGATGTAAATCCCTGGACGCAGCACCTACACCTGGGCACAGCGGGTGTACAGACATGGGAACTCAGCACAGGGATGGTGGGAGCCCCTCATAATGGGCACAGCGGGGTGTACAGACCCAGGAACTCAGCACAGGCATGGTGGGAGCCCCTCATAATGGGCACAGCAGGTGAACAGACCCGGGAACTCAGCACAGGACTGTCACCTCCCTCAGCCTCTGTCCTCAGCGGCCGCTGCTCGTTCCTGTCACACAGGAGTTCTAGCAACAGTGCCTGCTAGAACTCCTGTGTTGGGGGTGACGGGTTGAATACAGTGTACCTGTCACC